CTCTCTCTCTCTCTCTCTCTCTCTCTCTCTCTCTCTCTCTCTCTCTCGTTCTGTATTCTTGTCTCTCAGGCCGTCTATGTCTTTATCACTCACGTTTTCTGGATCCATTCCTGCATCTGGGTAGAACTTTTATAGTTCATGAATCAATCAACAAGCATTTACTAAGTTATGTGCCAGGCTCTGAGCTGAGGGCTAGAAACACGCAGAAAAAGCAAAGTAAGTCCTGCTTTCAAAGAGTTTACATTCTAATGGGGGACATAACACATACATAAATTGGTATTATATAAGAGACGTAGAGAGAAGAGACAAGGTAACAAGAGAGAAAGGCAGTAACAGCTGGGAGGATGGCAAAGACCTCCTGAAGAAGGTGCATTTATGTTGGAGTGTGAAAGCAGTGACTAGGATTGTAAGAGGCAGAATAAGGAGGAAAGGCATTCATATACTGTAGGCATATATATATATATTGTAAAGTATATAGAAGAGAATAATTTGTAATAGGAATAGAAATATAGGAAAGGGCCATATTCTGAAGAACTTTAGATGCCAAACAGTTTATATTTGATCCTAGAGATATTTAGGAGCCATTGGAGTTTATACTAAGTAGGGGCATGACCCGGTCAACCCCGGGCTATAGGAAAATCCCTTGGGCAGCTGGGTAGAGGATGGGTTGGAGTAAGGAGACTTGACTCGGAGAGACCAGTTAGGAGACTTATTACAATAATCCAAGGGAGAAGTCATGAGGACCTAAATTAGGATGGTAGTTGTGTGAGTACAGATAAGGGGATATGGAAGAAGGGCATTTGGGGATATAAACAATAAGATTCGGCAACAGATTGGGAGAGAGTGAATGCGAGAAGTGGAGGATGATGTCTAGGATGTGTACCTTGGTAACTAGAAGTATAATGGTTCCCTTGAAAGAAATATGGAAGTTCAGAAGAGAGAAGGGTTTGTGGGAGAAAGATAATGAATGCGTTTTTGGACACGTCAAGTTTGAGTTTGCCTATGGGACAACCAGTTTGAAATGTCCAGTTGGCAACTGGTGATGAAGGACTGGAGCTTAAGAGAGAGACTAGAGAGACCAGGGGATTCTCGGATCTGATGCCTGAAGCTGGAGCCCTATGTAGGGTGGAGAGAGAAAAGTGAGAAAGATGTAAATTTTGGCTCAGAGGTAATGTAGAGTCTGCTGAATGAAGAAGGAACGCCTTCATGAAGAAGGAAGTAGAATGTAGATCCCCTCCTCTGCTGTGTGTGTTGCTTAAAAAAAAAAAATGGCATCTCTGGACTTCAGTTTCCTCTTTTGTAAAAACAGTTGACTTGGATTAGATAATCTCTAAAATCCTCTCTAGTTCTAAGGTCTGACAGTCTGAAATTCAGTGTTTTAAGTGTTCAGTGTTTCAGTGTTCTTTCAGCCCTGGCGTTCTATGATTTAAGTGACTTCCTAGGACATACAGGTAATTATGGGACTAGAACCCAAGTCTCTCAATCCAGAGCTCTAACCATACTAGAGGCCAGGAGAGGACAGGGTAGAAAGAGGGTCAGGAATAAGGAAAGAGGGGAAAAGACTGCAGTGGAGTTGACTAAAGGGTGTAAGAGGGTTAAGAGATCGTATCAAAGAAAGAGGGACTAGATATGGGGACTTAAAGGTTTTGGAAGTAGGAGGGCCCACAGACACTCCTCTCCCCTACTCCTCATCTCCCTTTTCTCCCCATTCCTACCTTCTCTTTCTTTTCTTTTTCTCCTCCTTTCCCAGCACGCTTTCCTTCCCTTATCTCTCCCCATCTGTTAAACCTTAGCCAGGGAACGGTAGAAGAATCAGTTGACATGCTGGGGCATGGGAAGGCTATTGTGGGAAAGAAACAATCATGTCAATGTGAATGTCTAGGGCTCGGACAAACTAGAGAAGTCGGATGCCTCCTAGGCCACAGAGCCCTCCCTAGTGCCCCAAGGGCACCCTCTACTCTTCTCCTATCTGTCTGACTCTCTTCTCTCTGTCCTATGCTCCTCAGCAGGTGAGATGCTCCTGAAAGCCCAAACAATTGATCGTGGTGCTATCCAGCCTCCTAGAGGTTAGTGGTTCTGTTCCCTCTGAGTCATTGAGGGAGGGGTAGTAAAGGGGCTGGGGGTGGGGGAGGGAGAGATACCTTCAGTATACCTAGTTTGAAAGACTCTAAGGGAAAGGGAAGGGGGAGGGGGAGGCCTGACCTATTGCTGTATCTGCTTTTCCTTGGCCTTCCTGATGACCGAATCTCTCTCCACATTTGTGTCTCCATGGTCTTCTGACCAAGTCTTATCTAAGTCTTCACAGTCTCTCCCATGTCATCATTCATCACCAATAACAATTGGCCTTTCCCGAGAGCAAGCAATGGTCAGGACCATTCTAGGTGCAAAGGGGTATATAACCTTAAATCCAACAAGCATTTATTGTATACCTACTATGTACCAGGCACTTGGAAATAAAAAGACAAAAATGAAAAACAGTTCTTGCCTTCAAAGACCTTTCCATAGAAAGAGGTAGAGGTGTGGGCTCTGACCTCAAAGGGATTGTTATCTAGCTGCAGAGACAGGGCACACATGGAAAAGTAACCAACAGTACAGAGATTTGTGTGCCACAGAAGAAGGGTCATTGTGGGCCCAGGGGGTCAGGTAAGGATTAACAGAGAAGCTGAGTAGGGCCTTAGGCAAACGGAGAGGAGAGAGAACAACCTGAGCAAAGATACAGAGGCACAAAGACGTAGAATAGGTGGTGTCCAGTAACACAAAGGGGAGTGGTGGGAGATAAAAACTGCAAAGGTAGATTTGAATCAGATCATGGAGGGCCTCGAACGGCAGATTATGGAGTCTGGACTTTGGGGAGACAAGAGAGAGCCATTTCAAGCCTTTGGCATTTGAGGGGCAGGTTTATTAGCCTCACTGGTTCATAGCATTTTTCCTTAAAAGAAAGGAAGAGTTGATCATTTTCTCTTAATCATTTAAATGCTTGCATCTGCCAGCAAATGCCTCTCCATAGAGCATTTGCAAATGTTAAAGTACTATAACAAAAGCTAGCTATTGTTATTAAATCAATATCCATGCTGGGAAGGAGAAATGAGAGAAGGCTCATACACAAAACTTAAGCACATATATGAAATTTATTAAAGGACATTCCTAACTGCAGGAGTTTTTAACCTGGGGTCCACAAACTTTTTTTTAATATTTGGGTAACTATGTCAATATAATTGATTCTTATGTGTTTTATTTTGTTCATTTAAAACATTATTATGAGAAGGGGTCAATTGATTTCACCAGATTGTCAAAGGGGTCCATGACTTGAAAAAGGTTAAAAAATCCTTGCTTTTCAGCCAACTGAGGCATTGGGAGGTCTGGAGGGAGGGGCTGTTATAAATCTCCAAGTCATTTTGTTGTTCAGTAGTTTCAGCCATGTTTGACTCTCTGTGACCCTATTTGGAATTTTCTTGGCAAAGATACTGAAGTGGTTTGCCATTTCCCTCTCCAGCTCATTTTATAGATAAGGAAACTGAGGCAAATAGGGTAAAGTGACTTGCCCAGGATCACATAGTAAGTGTCTGAGGCCAGAGTTGAACTCAGGAAGATGAGTCTTGCTGACTCCAGGCGAGCTCTATTCACTGCATCGCCGCCTAGCTGCCCACCTCCAAGTCATTATCCGGTACTATTCATGGAGGGGGAAGGCAGTAGGCCACTCCAAAGAAAGCTTCCTAATTTTACCCTTTTGTACAGGAAAAGTTTCACCCTTGACATGTGTTAAAGATGCCCCCTCATTTATTCTCAGTTCCTAGGGGTTCTGGGTAGTGATTGGTTGGGAAGCAAAGGCTTTATCTATTACTTCCATACCCAAATCTAATTTTTGGAATCTTTGAGTATTGTGATCATCGGTTGAAGGGCAAAAGAGAAAATAAAGAATGTGAGCTCTTTAAGGGAAGGGATTAATTAATTCTCTGTATTAGTATCTCCACTTCTGTAAGAAGCCTTTCCTGATAGGGCTTTTTCTCCAAGATTATCACCAATTTATCCTGTATAGACATTATCTGCACAAAGTTTTTTGTGTGTTACCTTTCTTTTTAGACTGTAAGCTCCTTGAGAGCAGAACTGGGGTGAGTGTTTTGCTTGTTTGGTTTGGGTTTTTTTAGTCCTACCTTTCTATCTCCACACTTTGCACAGTGCCTGGCACATAGTAGACATTTAAGAAGTGGCTGGGGATCGATTAACTCACCCTTAAGACTGGCTTTGGACCAGTTCTCATAGAACTAGGGAACTTGGTTCTCATGGCCTTGACTGAACTCTTAGAAACTCTCACCTGCTCAGGTGTCATACAAAGAACACAGGGATTAAAGTTTATACATGGACTGTTATTATTTTATTTAATTAATTAATTAAATTATTTATTATTATTTAACTCCTAACTCTTCTGAGTCAGTCAACCCAGACTCTAAAGCAGAGGTTCTTAACCACTTTTGTGTCATGGACCCATTTGACAATCTACTGTAGTCTATAGATCCCTTCTCAGAATCATGTATGAAATGCCTAAAATAAAACATTTAGAATTACAAAGGAAACCAATTGTGTTGAAATACAGTTATCAAAATATTTTTAAAAACAAGTTCATGAACCACAGGTTAAGAACTTAATATTCAGTCAGGATCTTTTTTTCCCTTCTATTTTATTTTATTTTATTATTCAATCGACAAACATTTATTTTCTCTCTCTCTCATTTCCTCCCCTCCCTCCAATTTAAAAGAAAAAAAAAAGAAAATCCTTGACACAAATATACACAGTCAAGCAAAACAAATTCCCGCATGCCCAAGTCCAAAAATGGATGCTCCGTCTCCAGCCCTTATTGAGCAGAAGAGGGCTAGTGTATTTCACCGCAGGTGCTCTAGAGATGTGGGCATGTACAACATTGATGATAGTTCTTGAGTCTTTTGAGTTGTTTTGTCTTTACAAGGTTGTTGTTTTCATATAAATTGATCTCTTGTTCCACTTATTTCACTCTACATCAGTTTTCCAGGCTTCTCTAAATCTGTCCCCTTCATCATTTCTTACAGCATGATATTATTCCATTACATTCATATACCATACTCGTTTGGCCATTTTTCCCTCACTTTGTTTCCAATTATTTGCTAACCAGGATTTTTTTTTGTTTAATGCTTATATATGAAGGTATCTTGCATTTATGAGACGAATCAGCCAACAATTATCAGAGGGCTAGAATAACAGCAGAGGCGTGCCATAATTAGAATCTAATAATAATAATAGTAGCAGATTACTGTAATTTAAGGTTTATAAAGTGCTTTACTTTCAAAAAACCCAGTATGGGCATTTTATTATCCCCATTTCATAGATGAAAAAACTGAGTCTCAGAGAAATTATTTGCCCATTATCACACAGCTAGTAACTATCTAAGACAGTGTTTAGGAAGATTAAGGGTAGATTGGAGAAGAATGTGACTTTCAAGAGGAAGAACCCCTTAATTAGGAATCCTGTTACTATAGTCCAAACAATAGATGTTGAAGGAATAGCGGGGGGTAGTAGCAGTGGGGATGAAGAGGAAAGGACCCACGCAGGAAATATAACAAAGGTACATGGGTCTGCTGATCATGTCATAAATATATGGCCCCTCAGTATATGAACTACTGTACAAAAGGTCCTGAGTGAATATTAATCTATTCATTGTACCTTTACCATGCTTTAGATTCTAGAGACTGGTTCAGTACTTGGTGACCAATGAGCAGAACAGCAATGTGTCCATAGGGTTTCTCCCTTTCTTTATGTCTCAGTCACGTCCTCCCCCCCTCCCCCGCCATCTCATATCTCCAGGGTGTCTCCATGCCTCTCCCCATACTTCAGACCATTCCTTGTGAAAAGGGGGACAGTATGAGGATGAGTGTAACATTAGACTGGCCCCTGGATCTGTAGAGCTGAAGTTTAAGAAGTTTAGGCCCTTAGGGTTTTGGGGACTAGAGAAACCTGGGTTCTGATCTTGACTTTCACAGAGAATTCATGCGGCAAGAAGCTCTGGCAACATCCACGTTTCGTGGCCAAAAAGAGGGACAGACGCTTTGAAGTAACCTGCCACATAAACTCTTCGGTCAAGGTGATTTGGTTGCTGAAGCAGGAGTCAGATGCCAACATGCAGGTCCTACCACACGATAGTGAACGGCTACAACAGTTGGTGAATGACACCATCGCCACTCTCATCATCCCAAAGATACAATTTGAGGACAATGGCATCTATTACTGCGAACAAGTGTGTCAGAACAGTGGTAATGCCTCCCGGGGCTGTGGCACTGAGCTCCGTGTCATGGGTAAGTTCGGGGATAATCCCGGGTGAGGAGCATTCTTATCTTCCCTTTGTACAACCCTCTAGACAGGTCCCTGTCTACCGCCACCACCCATGAGAAAAGAATGCTAGGCTCTCCTGGGGCAGGTGGGATGGAACGTGTGAAGACGGTTCTGGGAACTTGTCACTGGTAACTTATCCACTGTCAGCTCTCTCTGCCACCATAGGGTTGGCCTTGCATTTGCACTAAGCCATTGACTGACCTGATCTCTCACGTTCCTAACAATACACACATTTGGAGATGTTTAGCTAGAGTGAGTGTGGGAGGCCGTTTCTGACCCAAAACCAAGTGAAGTTGACTGGTTCAAGTGGGAGTTAACGGTCTACCTAGTTAACCTAGACTCAATTAATAAGAAAAGCTAGTATGAATATAATGTTTTGAGGTTTACAAAGTGCTTTGGGAATCACAGTTTTAAAGCTGGGAAGAAACTTTAAAGGCCAACACCTTCATTTTATGAGTAAGGAAACTGAGGCACATCAAAGTTAAATAACTTACTCACATACAGCTAGCAAGCATCTGAGGCAAGATTCATTTGATCCTCACAACAACTCTGTGAAATAAGTGATTATGATCCCCATTTTGCACAGGAGGAAAATGAGACATACAGAGGTTAAGTGACTTGCCCAGGGTCTCACAGCAAGTAATTCAGACTCAGATATTCTTAACTCCCAGCCTAGCTCTTTGTCTACTTTACCACCTAAGAGCTGGCTACTGATAAAAGGGAGGGGACCCTCAGAAACAGTAAAGCAGAGGACACAGGGAGAGCTGTTAACAGACTGCCATTGCTGTCCCTAAAGAGTTGAGCTCTGTGACACCCTCTTCCTCTCAGTACCTCATCACATCGTCTCTCACCAAAGGGTACAGCACCGTGGCCCAGCTGAAGCGGAGGAACACCCTGAAAGATGCCATCATTATGATCCAGACCTTACTCATCATTGTCTTCATCACTGTCCCTATTTTCTTGCTGTTAGATAAGGTGACTGAGGGATGAGAGGGGGAAGGGGGAAGGGGATGGGAAAGAGGAAGTGAACAAGGCAGAGGAGACCCTCCTGGACCACACTGGCCTGAAGCAGCAGTGTGAGAGGCAGCATCTTGTATTGCTTTTCCCCTCCGCACCCCTCCCCCAACTGCTGACACCCTGGCCCAGCCCCATCCTCACTTACCTCTCCCTCCTCTATCCCCATTCCCATTCTTACCTCCACCTCCCTTTCCCTCGATCCCATTGTCAGGCCCGTCTGTCCCTCCCCCTCATCTAGTTTATCCCCAGGTCCATCTGTCCCTCTTCCCTAGCATTCCCATCTGAACAGCCATCTCTCTCTCATCCACTACCATTCTGGACCCACCTCTCCCTCACCTATTTCATCCTCAGACCCTTCTGTCCCTCACCCAACTTTCATCCTGAATTTCCATCCCCTCTTCCCATCCTCAGGCACATATCCTTCTCATCTACCCCCATCTTAAGACCCACCTGTCTCTCCCCACTGCCATTCCTGTACCCAGCTCTTTCCCCCTTCCTCTACATGTAAAGCCCGAGGTCAGAAAATAGTGGTGAGGGGAGAGAGATGAGCCCAGATTAACCTTCTCTTCCTTCTCTTTGTCAGGATGACAGCAAGGTGGCGCTAGAGGATGACCACACCTATGAGGTATGGAAGTGAGGCAGTTTGCTAGAGTGATGGTAATGGCCCTAGTCAGTGGGTGTGGACCATACTACTACAGGACCCGGCCCTGATCTTGTTTGCTTCTTGACATCCATAGGGTCTGGAAATTGACCAGACGGCCACCTATGAGGACATTGTGACACTTCGGACGGGAGAAGTAAAATGGTCAGTGGGTGAGCATCCGGGCCAGGAGTGAAGGGTTCCCCGACCTGGAGATCCTTCCTATGCTCCCCATCCCTCCACCAACCTCCTGGAGGCAGCTCAGCCAGCAAATCAGCTTCATGGACCTGCTCTGGTTTCCAACCTGTTGCTCCTTTCTCCTCTGCCCATAACTGTCCTGCCTCCAGGCTTACTGGTCCAGCTCCGCCTTCCTACCTCCAATCCCTCGAGACTCACAACCATCTCCAGAGGGATGTAGGCCTGCCCAGGTTAGGGGAAGTTGTCTCTCTGAGGCTCTTTGAAATTGGCCTTGTCCAGAATGGCGGGGGGATGGGGGGAGAAGGACGTAGAGTGGAGGGAGACTCAGACTTAGTGGGGAGAGGGGAAGTAAGACAAAAGAAAACAGATTTGGAGTCTGGTGGAGAAAAAGGGGAAAGAACCTGTAAATCTGACTCAGACTGACCTATGAGACCAGGCCGTACTTGGATCCCTACAGCATCGCAAACAAGGATCACAATAGACTCTGAACACTTGCCCTGCCAATTGACTCAATCCAAATTAGGGGTTATGGAAATACATCCCCTTCTCCCATCTCCCAGGATCCTGTTGGGCCCTTCCTGGTCTCCTATGCATAGCCCCTAATGTAATAAACTGTGTGTTTTGAGAAAGTACATGGCAACTTGTAGCATCTCATGGATGTGCCCACATACACACATCTCTCTCTCTCTCTGCTTGTGTACTTGTTTTTGCCTATGAGGGTCTGCTTGTACTTGCTGGAGTAAACTTACATCTGTAGCTATAGTGGCCAACAGCTGACCTTTTCTCCTGATCTCCCTACCTACTTCCCCAGTATGGCTCATTTAGTCCTTATACCTTTATGTTCTCCTTCTAGGCCCTGTCTGCCTTAGACCTCCACCACTTCCCTTTACATGTTCTCCCTTTCTTCCTCTCTGGCCCCAGTTTTAGCAAAAGAGGCCAGAACTTGGGCAGATCAATCATTGACAATCGTTCCCCTGCAGCAAGGCCAATCTGAACCATTTTCCAATCCATGTTCCTTTATTGAGTTCCTACAGAAGTAGCTCAAGGCACCTCCCAATTCACAAAGTAGGTCCACCAGAGACTGTGCATCTCTATCAACTAAATTCATAATTCACAAGTGCCCACCAGTATGTTCACCTTTAGTAATCAGCCACAGGGCACCATTAGTTCAAAATAAAAGTATTTAATGAAATAGCATTATAAGACCAGTTACACATATTTCCCCCATAAACTTAGGGCACCTTTTCCCATAATCAAGCATACCATCAATGGGCAGAGTGGACTTTCATGGAAGGGCATACATGTATGACCAGGACACATGTTTGGAGGAGTAATTCACACCTCTGACACCACAGAGTCTCTGATATCTTCTAGTGATGTCACACTCTGCTCAGTTGGGCCTGATCCCTGATGGTCTCTGATGGACATGCTGTTCCATTAGGTGCCAGACATGTTGTCCCTGTAAGATATTGACATAATCCATCTGCTATTCATAGCATACATACATACATACATATACATATATGGCTATGAAACTTCTCTTTTCTTCCACATCTGGCTTCAAGCTCAGAACCTTTGCTAAATTGCTACTCTTCCTCATGAAAAGAAAAGGTCACTTCTTGTAACTCTCTTAAGAAAGAAACCCTCCTCAGTCAAAGGATAAGTAAAAGGCCTGGGGCTGGTGGGTGGAGAAACCCTTCTGGCTTTGTAGAGTGGCCTATCTGTTCCTTTCCAGAATTTTGGATAGAAAACATTTCATCTTCACCAGAGATTCTTTGCCTCAGATGCCAAGCTCTGTTGTTGTAGAATACTCCAAGTTTGTTAATGTATGGAGTAATGTTACTGTACTTAATCTTTTCTTTGGACTAGATTTCCATGGGCAGTTTAACTCTAGGTCATGGTGAGCAATCCATATACCTCCTGATTTTAATCTCTGATTCTAATATCTATACCTGGTCATTATCTATGTAAATCTATTCACCTAAAAGCTAGTATATAGTTCTGCAGTTTGGGGTTTCCCAGTTTTTTCAACTCCAAGCCCCCTTCCATCTTTTCCATTCTCCCACATAGATGAAGAGGCAGAGGAAGGCCATAAAGACAAAGTTAAGTTCAATGGGCAAGGCCATTTTCTCTTCTATTTGCCTAGCACTTTCTTAGCTTTTTGTAAAAACAACTTGCAGGAAAACCTAAAAAATCTTTGATCTCACTCTTAAACTAATGTGTGATGAGTGCTGGGATAGATGCTCTATGGTATATAGAAGAAAGAGAAGATATGGTGACTGCCCTCAAGGAGTTTATACTCTAGTTGGGAAAATTATACAATTCCCCACTTCTCCACCTATTTGAATCTTACCCATCTTTCAAGGCCCAACACAAATCCTACCCCTGACCATTCTAGCCTACTTTACCCTTCTTTTCCCTCAATTCCTACCACATGTAACAGTTTAAACCACACCATTTAGCATGGTACAGTGGAAAGAATATTGAATCTGGAGTCAGAGGCCATGGGTTCAAATCCTACCTCTAACACATACTATTTGTATGATGTTAGACCAGTCACTTAATCTCCTTGGTTTTAATTTCCTCATCTATAAATAAGTGGGTTAGAATAAATAGTTTCTGAGGTCTCCTCCATATCTTGACCTGTGATCTTATGTGTACCAGCTCCCTGAGTCTTTTCAGTTGTTTCACAGGAATTCCCTTCATCTCTCCACCTAGACAGAAAGCTCATTAGGGGCAAAGACTGTAGGCAGTACCTCTCTGTATGTCTCCCCCACAAGAGGCTAGCATATAGGACTGGGCACACAATAGGTACACAAGGTACACTACTAGCTACACAAGAAAGATATGTTGAGTTCTCAGACCACTCCCACAATGGAAAGACCACAGAGTCAAGTAGGCTCAAAACCTGAGAATGTAATAGGGGGAAAATGTTGGATCTGGAGTCAGATGCACTGGGTTCAAATTCTGCATCTTCCTTCCACTTCTTACATATGTGATCCTGGACAAGTCCATTTATCTCTCTAGGCCTCAGTTTCCTCATCTGTAAAATGAAAGAGTTAGACTAGAATATCCACTAAGGTCCCTTCCAGGTGCAAATCCACGATCCAAATTGATGTCCTACAAATGGGAATCTATGAATGTCAATGAGATGCAACAAAGAGGAATATTGTAGCTGGGGCTTCCTAGTGGAAGCTTTGAGCCTGATTCTTTTTTTGGGGGGGGGGCAGGCAATCAGGGTTAAGTGACTTGCTCAGGGTCACACAGCTAGTTAATGTCTCGGGTCCTCCTGACTCTAGGACCCGTGATCTGTCCACTGAGCCACTTAGAGTCTGATTCTGAAGGAGAGATGAGATAAAATTTGGATATAGGGTACAGGGGCTTGGGGATGGAGTATGGGAAGTCTTGAGAACTCCCAGCCCAAGGAGTCAGGCAGACAAACCAAGATGGACATACTGTGGATTCGTTTTAAGGGTCTGGTTTCTGGTTTGGCTTTGCTAGCTTAAGGACGGAGTGATTTTGTCCAAGGAAGATCCTGAGCCTCTGGCCGCTGCCCCGCCATCTCCTCAAACGCTTCGGGTTGCCAAAGGGAACTACCTTCTTTAGAACTTTGTCTCCACTGAGCTGAAGCCTGGCCTTTCCTGCTACTTTGCATAGCACAGCTAAATCTGGCCTCCACCCTCCACCCTGGGACACGGAGCAGCGGGCAGAGGGAAGTCCTTGTGGGACAAGGCTTGCTATGAACTCCTCTCCTCACTCTCCCCGGCACATAGTAGGCACTTAAAAATACTTTTTGACTGTTTGACTGATTGAAGCTAAGGTGTTGGTTTAGATGAACTCTTGAGTTCCCTTCTGGTGCTAAGATCAATGATATGGAGGAGGAAAAGGAAGAATTTTAGGGTAAAGTTTTTTACCTTTTCAAATATTTCTTTATTTTGGGACTCAGCAACTATACCTCCCCATCATTCACAAATGTTAAAGACTTTTCCAAAACCTCAAGGATTTGTGATTTCATCACTGTAGATATTCCTTCCACTGCTGCTAACTACAGCCCCTCTACAACTTAGTAGATGGTCTTCAGGAGTCACTGTTGTCGAAAAATTCATCCCCCTGTAGTCATGCTGGTGATGAATCTCTCCCAATTTAGTTGACTGGTCTTCAGAATACACACTGATCCATCACCAGGCTACTACCCAAAGGTTTTCCATCTTTTGGTAGGACCTACACAGACTCAGAGACCCCAGGCTCTCTTCTACTGTGGGATAAGGCACAGGAGGAATGTGGTGATGAATTTTCTTTACAATGGCATTATTACACAAACACTTCTCTTGGTTCTGCTCATGTCACTCTATCGGTTCATACAAGTTTTCCCCCGTCCCTTTCATCACTTCTTCTAGTATGATGGTATTCTGTTACATTCGTATGCCATAACTTGTTCAGCCATTCCCCCAAAAGAGGAGCAACCCTTAGTTTTTAGCCCTTTGCTAACACAAAAAGATATACTATTAATATTCTTTAATTTCATGCTATGAGGTCTTTTGGACTGTTTTCTTGTCTTTCTTTGTATCCTTAGAGCTTAACACAGTGCCTGGCACATTGAGGTACCTGTTAATTGCTACTTAGCTGATTTAGGTCCTTTTCATCCTTTTTAAAAATCTCTTTGGGGCACAGACCTAGTAGTAGTAGTAGTAGTAGTAACAGTAGTAGTAGTAGTAGTAGTAGTAGTAGTAGTAGTAGGAGTAGTAGGAGTAGTATGATTTTTCAAAACATCAAAATTAATTATTGTATAACTGTTAATGCATAAGACATCAACCAATCATAAATGCAAAACCTCTGTGTACTACATGACTTCTCCAAGGCTAGCCTCAAAGGCTAAGAGATGGTGCCACTGCACAGAATTTCCAAAAGTTCAAATCCCTAGTGCTTTCTCCTACCACCCTGCCACCCCTTCCAATTACAAACCCTGTAGATTTCCCCATAGACTTGGCACATGCTCCATTGCCCTCTGGGGGAGTCCAGCCCTGTCCCTCAGGGGCTGCCCCTCTAAGTACGGGCTACTTCCTACTCTACTCTCCCTTGACTTCCTGTCCTGCTACTGCAGGTGCTGCTGTTGCTACTGGTTCTGCTTATCTGATATTATTCTCTTTCTTTTTTTTTCTTTTCTCTCTTTTTTTTTTTTTGCAAAGTCTGAGGTTAGAAGAAAAAAAACCCAAAACAAAACATGCTACTATTGTTATAGTCAGTCACCTGTTATCAGCTTTTGTTGTTCAATCGTGTCCCCATTTGGGGGTTTCTTGGCAAAGATACTAGAGTGGTTCGCCATTTCGTTCTCCAGCTCATTTTACAGATGAGGAACCTGAGGCAAACAGAGGTTAAATGACTTGCCCAGAGTCCTACAGCTAATAAGTGTCTGAGGCCCCATTTGAACTCTGACTCCAGGTGTGGCGCTCTATCCATTAAATTGCATAGCTGCCCCTATCAACTTCAGTTTTATCCACCAGCAACTAAAGTACCTAGGTTTTCTTTAATTGTCTTCTTTTACCTGATGCCCTCTACCAACAGCTTTCCATCTACGAAAAGGTTATGTTTTAGCTTCTCTGGTTTTATACCTACCAAATCTGCTTTCTATAATTCTCTTCCTTAGAGCGTGAATTGGAGTGAGTTATCCAGCTTTCATTCAGGTCTCTTGCTGTTAACATACTAAAGTCCTGTTGTTTTTCTCAGTTGCCAGAAAAACCTTCCTTTCAGTTTCCTTGAGACACCCTGAATTTTGCTCAGTTCCACTGACTCCCTTTTTCTATTTTTGAAAAAAAAAATATTCCCCTACTATTTCCAAATCCCTGTGCCAGCATTGTGCTGATCCTCCTCTTCCTCATGCTATGGGAACTTGGACCCTGCTCCCTGCAACCCTGGGCTCTGATCAGTAAGCCTTTGCTTTATCTTGCCTAGAACCTAGGTCACCACATCCTTCCTGACCATTTCCAAACCAGGTTGCTGCGCCAGTAATCCACCCCCCACCCCAACCCCACTTCTTTCCAACTCTATATGTTGCCTTGCCTTATTAGAATGCAAACTTGAGGACAGGAGTTGTCTTGTTTGTTTATATTTGCATCTTCAAGGTTTAGCACAGTACCTGGGACATTGGTTGTTGCTGAGTCCTTTAAGTTACGTCTGACTCTTTGAGACCCCTCTTGGGATTTGCTTGGCAAAGATACTCAGCGTGGTTTGCCATTTCTTTCTCCAGCTCGTTTTACAGATGAGGAAACTGAGGCAAATGGGGTTAAGTGACTTGCCTCGAGTTACACAGCTAGTAAGTGTCTGAGGCTGGATTTGAACTCAGGAAAATGAGTCTTCCTGATCCCAAGCCAATTGCTCTATCCTCCTCACACCTAGCTGTGTACTTAGCACATGATAAGGACTTAATAAATAAATACTTTTTCAGTCATTCATTAAATTAGGGACTTAAGCAATTCTAGGGAATAAAGAAGCTATAAATATTAAGTGCAACCCCAGTCCCAAAGCTCATTGGTACGAGAATCTCTCCTCATTAGTGGAGAGCAATGGAGGGGCAGGAGGAGTTGGGGAGAGTGGGAGAGCTCCAGGTTCTTCAGGATTCTTCAAACTCTCAATCATTTTGGGCACTTCTGGCTTCCAGTTTCTAGAGAGAGAAGAAGTCAACTCCACTTCATGTTGCTGACAGAGAACACCGGATGAAGACATGATGGAGACTGCAGGCTTTCTCATGTCTTCCCAGAGTCTTTTCCTTTAGTAACCTAAAGAGAAGAATTGGCCTCGTCCATCTTCTCTCTCAAAGTTAGACAGAAGTGACCAACGTAGTGTTGTTGTTGATGATGGTGATGGTGGTGATGGTGGTGATGGTGGTGGTGGTGGTGGTGGTGGTGGTGTCAGTAATGATCTTTCATTCTGGAAGAGGACCAATGACATCACAAGGGTGACATCTTGACTTGCATTTGAACTGGATTTAATTAAGGCACTGGGAGTTTGAACAGTCCTGAACTCTCTGACTCCCACCAACTCCCTCCCCTTTCCTCCATCGATTTCCACCAATGAGGAGAGATTCTCATACCAAAGGGTTTTGGGACTGGGGTTACATAGCCTCTACTTACTTCAAGAGTTTTTAACCCAGGGTTTGATAAGTTGTGAATTTGAAAAAAAAAATTTTGATAACTCTATTTCAATATGATTGGTTTCCTTTGCAATCCTATGTATTTTACTTTATATATTTACATCATGATTTTGAGAAGTGGTCTGTGGGTTCCACCAGATTGCCAAAGGGGTCTGTGACACAAAAGAGGTTAAGATTCTTAGTGGGGCAGCTAGGTGGCTCAGTGGATAGAGCACTGGCCCTGAAGTCAGGAGGATCTGAGTTCAAATCCGGCCTCAGACCAAACATTTGACACTTACTAGCTGTGTGACCCTGGGCAAGTCACTTAACCCCAATTGCCTAAAAAAAATAAAATAAAATAAAATAAAAGACTCTTATTAACCCCTT